AAAAAAAAAAAGATTGGAAGTGTTCTACAGAATGATGACAGGATGAATTCCTGCTGTCTATGCCGGTCTGTGGTGCATCAAGCTGTGATCACCTGTGTGAAGGGGCACTACGCAGCCGCAGAGGGGAACAGTGACAGTGACACTGTCTATGGACAGTGCAGCATAATCAGCAGAGAAGAGTCTATACCCTACACAGAGGTAGTGTTTTCCTATAACAGGGGGGAAATATGGATATATTAAAGCATTAGCTCGCATTAAAAATATTAAAAGTGGGAGAATAAAACAAAAACTAGTCAGAATGGTTGTCTGTAAGAATGGTTACCTAAGCTGGGCCTAGTGGCTCACATCTATAATCCTAGTACTTTGGGAGGCCAAGGTGGGAGGACATGTGAGGTCAGGAGTTCAAGACCAGCCTGAGCAAGTTGAGACCCCCATCTCTACTAAAAATAGAGAAATTATCTGGGTGTGGTGGTGGAAGCCTCGAGTCCTGGGTACTTGGGAGGCTGAGGCAGGAAGTTTGAAGGCTGAGAGCTGTGATGCCAGGGCACTGTATCCAGGGTGACAGACTGAGAATCTATCTTAAAAAAAAAAAAAAAAGAAGACTTGGTGCCTGTAGGTCAGTGGCTAAGGCACCAGCCACATACACGGAGGGTGGTGGATTTGAACCTGGCCTGAGCCTGCAAAAAACAATGACAACTACAACCAAAAACCAGCTGGGCATTGTGGTGGGTGCCTGTAGTTCTAGCTGCCTGGGAGGCTGAGGCAAGAGAATTGCTTAAGCCTAAGAGTTTGAGGTTTATGTCAGAGCGCATCACAGCACTCTACCCAGGGCGACATAGTGAGACTCTATCTCATATACACATATACACACATGCACACACACACACAAAAGAAGAGGAGCAGGGATGGAAGTGGACTTCTTGGAATGCTTCCTGTTATAGTTTTCATTTAGGAACTATGTAAACTTTTTTTATATGCATAAAACAGGTAAGTAAAAATTTTTACAGTACAACCCCTAAAAACCCAAAGCAAGACCTATCGAAGAGACATACTGAGTTGGAGGCTTGGTCACGATAAGTGATATGAAAACAAGAGGCTGTGTCTGCACATGCCTGGCCAGTGAGAGCCCAGTGAGGGAAAGAACTGCACCGACGTGTGTCTGCTCTCAGGGGCCATCTGGGCGGCAGCAGGTGCTGTTACTCTGGAGGTATCATTACAGTGGCATAAAACAAGTGGTGGTAACTGTAATGTTACATGGAACCCAAGTTTTCTACTTTAGGAGAAAAGAGATACCAAAAAGTAAGAACACTGTTATCTTAACTTTGAACTGAAAATAGTGATCTTGATTTTTTTTCTTAAGAAAAAAGATTCACATTTCCTAGCTCTGCTCACTATGAACAGGCCTGAAAACAATGATCAATCTCATAGCAATAAGTGTCCCTCATACCCAAATTGTGGTCTTTAAATTGCTAAGGAAAAGAACTAGAGCTCGTTTGAGCAGTGGCCCATCCCTGGTCAGGGGAATGAATGTGAGGGATGCCAGGAGAAGGTATCCACACTGTAAGAGCTCCTGCTGGAAGGAAAAGAGATGCTTCCCAAGAGGACAGGACGTCCAGGGAATGTGGATGCACGTGGTGTCTCTCGGTACACTCGACCTGTAACTGTGCCTTCGATTCAACTTAGAAAGTAATATGTAGATAACAGCTCTTAAAATGTGTACACATTTTCTGTACCCTCTGTATATAAAATGGGACTGAAATATCTTATCATGCCCTAAAGCAAGGGAGTTTTCAAAAACCACCAGAGTCACGTCAAGAACACAGCAGTCAATCTGGTCAATTTGATTACAAGGAAGAAAAATAGAAAGGATTGAAGCATGTCAAATATGTTAAAAATCTGCAAGTTTATGATGATACTGAACAAGCAGAATCTTAAGCAGATGCTAGAAAGACAACTTGTCTGAAAACAACAAAGGGAAAGATACTGCTCCTTGCTTTCCCTTGGGAACTGAACTGGACTCTCAAATAGGCGAGGAGAAAATGCTTTTCTTTAGAGGTAAATTCTAATGATGATAGGAAAAATGACAGACTCGGAATATCAGCATTTTATATGTCCTTAAGAACCTGACACATTCAGGTGATGGTCACCAGCGGTTCTCAGCTAATTAGGACCTTGACTGTTGACAGAATCCTCTCATCCCATACAGAGCGAGGATGGTACGTGTCCTCTGATGTAAAGCACACAGCATCTTTAGGGAGTATTCCTACCAAAAAGCAGAACCAAAATCTGGGCAAGCCTCTAGATCCAACACCACTTAACATGAGGAAACTCAGGGAACTGGGAACATCCCACGATAATTCAGAAGGTGGGAAACCTCTTCAGACAATGAGTCCATGTAGAGACACATGGAATGACAGCGGAGTACAGGCTTTACTGGGATCTCAAACCATGGAATGACAGGGGAGTACAGGCTTTACTGGGATCTCAAACCATGGAAT